GGGGGAGGAGGGTAGGGAGGGATTGATGGGGGAGGAGGGTTAGGGAGGGATTGATGGGGGAGGAGGGTAGGGAGGGATTGATGGGGGAGGAGGGTAGGGAGGGATTGATGGGGGAGGAGGGTAGGGAGGGATTGATGGGGGAGGAGGGTAGGGAGGGATTGATGGGGGAGGAGGGAAGAGAGGGAGGAGATGCAAGAAAAACAAAACAAAAAAATGCGCTTTTGAGAATTCTCAAAAGCGACTCCCAAAATGCGAGAGAGAGGCGTGGCAGGAGAGGGGAAAGGGCAAGGGACAGAGGGGAAAGGCAGCCAACGGACAGAGGGGAAAGGCTGCGAGGAGGAACAAAAGAGGCTGTTGCAGGAAGAGGAGAGGGTGACGGCCAAGGGAGGGAGTAGTACCCACCTTCGAATGCAGAGCAGGTGGTTGGAGGTGCGGCCATGCGTGCAGGTGGCAAGCAGGTAGCGGTGGGGGTGGGGGTTCCAGGGGATGAGGCGGGGGGGAGGGGGTAAGAGAGAGGCGGAGATGGGGAGAGGGAGTGGGTTGTCGGGTCGGTGCGGCAGACGGGGGGAAGGTGTGAGGGAGTTAGGTGAGAGAGGAGGAGGGAGAGGTGGGGAGGGAGGGTAGTGGTGGGTGAGAGAGGAGGAGAGGAAGAGCTGATGCGAGTGGTAATGAGTGCCTGAGCGGGATAGGGGAGGGCGAGGAGGTGGGAGAGGGCGAGGGGGAGGGTGAGGGAGAGGGTGGGCAGGAGGGAGAGGTGGGAGGGAGGGAGGGATATGGGTGAGAGAGGAGTGGTTGAGGGATTGTGAAGTCAACAATGTAATGGAGCTAATTCACAGGCTGATGAAGACAGAGGGGTAAGTAGGCCAGGAGAACAATGGAAAACAAAATGTACAAAAAAAAAAAAGGACTTGGTGCAGATCTTATAATGGGGACGGAGGGGTGTGGGGAGTAAGAAAGACCAGGAGTCACTCAGAACATCTTTGGAATCTCACCTGCTCAGAATCAGCCCCCTTGGCTTCACCATCCCTTGCTCTTGATTCATCCCACTCATCCCCTTCCACCACCAACTCTCTCCCTGCTTCACTGCCGCTGTTGCTGCCTCTGTTCCCACCACTGGCAGCACCACCACGGCAGCAGCAGTAGCAACAGTAGTTTCCACCCACGATGGCAATTCATCCTCCTCATCCTCCTTCCCACCTCTCCCCTCCCTCTCCCTTCTCCCTCCCCTTTTCCTCAGATACCTCCCTCCCTTCTCCCATTCCCTCCCTCTCACGCTGTAAGCTCTTCAGCATCGCATCCACTGTAGCTATCCTCGTTTTAAGGATACGCTCCAAGCGAATCAGCCCCGCTGCAGCAAGAGTCCTGTCAGCGTCAGACTGATTCTCATCAGCTGAACGCGAGACTGTGCTGCTGCCCTCTCCCACTCCGCCTGCTGCACTGTTCAGGCACAAGGGTACATGGAAAGCATGGCAGAAAGGCAGCATGGCGAAACGACCCAGCATGGCAGAAAGGCAACACACACATACATGGGCTGCTGCCAACCCAGCATGTAAACGAAAACTAACATATTCGTATTCGTTTTTGGTATTCAACCATTAGAGAACACGATACAAAACAAGTAAGTCTGGCTATGCGACTTGCATTCGGTTATGGAATGTTCAACATGTTTGGTATTCGCCAACAGAATATTTGAATAATCAAATAACCACTTGAAGGTGCGCTTTTTATGTGCCAATCATATCAACAACAACAAAAGCACTGGCGGTGCGGACAGGCCTATTAAAAACTATGGCCCGAGGTCGTGTGCCTGGGACAACCTTGTCTATCTGATGCATCACCCGCATGTTCCGCTGCAAGAACAAAATTCGTATCCGTATTTGACACAAATATTTGAACCGTATTTGGATTTGGTAGAAGAGGGCTATTCAACCAAATACGAAGTTCCCTGCTATCCTTCAGAGATTCGTAGACAGAACAGTATTCATATTTACGCCCTTAGCTGCATTGTTCAGGCACTAGGGAATAGCGCAACATGGCGACACATATCTAAAGGTGGTGTGGTGAGGTGAGGCAATGAGCCGACATGCACACACACCTTTCACTGAGTCAGTAAATACCTTTTCCCGGGCCCTGTGAAGTCACCTGCACCAGGAGGAAAGTGGTCCAATCTCACTCCTCTGCACCGACTCATGCCATGCTTCATTTCATTCTTGCCGTTGCTGCAGCTTCCCTTGCCACTGTTGCTGTTCCGACTGATGACAGCCCATTAGAGTGCTCATTGGTCACATGCGCCAAGGGAAGAGGAGTCCAGCTCACCTCTCTGCACCGACCCATGCCATGCATCTTCTCCTTCTTGTCGTTGCATCCCGTTGGAGTCCTCATTGCAGTCACATGCGCGAAGAGGAAGGGGTCCAACCTCACCTCTCTGCACCGACTCATGCCATGCTTCTGTTACTGCTGATGCTCTTGTGGTTGTTGTTTGTAGCAGCTTTTTGGTTGGAACGCCCATTGCAGTCACATGCACCCAGGGGGGAGGGTTCCAACCTCACCTCTCTGCACCGACTCATGCCATGCTTCTTGCTGCAGCCTGTTGTTCTTGTGGTTGCTGTTGTAGCAGCATTTTGGAACGCTCATTGCAGTCCCCGCCAGCTCTGTGCGACCTAATGCTGATCCCTGACCAGAGGAAGTAGGCCTGAAAAGAGGGGGAAAATGAAGAGGGTGAGTGAGTGAGTGGGTGAGCGAGTGAAAGTTCTGATCCATTCTCTCTCGCTCGGCACTCGCTTGTCCAGTCGTCAATTGTAACTCTCTCACTCCCTCATCCAATCGTCACTCTCTCTCTTTCCCTCATCCAATCGTCACTCTCTCTCTTTCCCTCATCCAATCGTCACCCTCTCTCTTTCCCTCATCCCATCACAAATTTGTTACCCCCTCGTACATAGTACTTATAGGTTCTGCTATGTTGTAGATACAAAGCTATATTGAGTAGATTGCATATAGCAGAATCTGTAAGTACTATGTATGGGTGCGAACAATTTTGGGGGGCCGATCGTCACTCTCTCTCTCTTTCCATCATCCAATTGTCACTCTCTCTCTTTCCCTAATCCGATCGTCACGCTCTCTCTCCCTCGTCCGATCGTTGTTACCTGCGACAAGCACACGAGGAGCAACAGGAGATGGACAAAGCGCCGCATGAGCGCCGCAAAAGACGGACGCCACGGCGGCAAGAGCGCCGCGAAGGACGGCCGCCATGGCCGCATGCGGCGCGGCGAGTGCTTCTCCGTGCGGGAAGCGCAAGAAAGGTCGGAGCTAGAACGAGTTGAAAGAAAACGTAAGGACGAAGGAATGTGGGCCGAAGGCGTGGATGGGGTTAGCGCAGCAGCGGAGAAGATTCTAAAGACGTCTAGGCTGGGTCGTAGAAAGTCAATCTAGCTTCGTGGCTGGGTCGTTGCTGTTCCATCAAGGTTGAATGACAATATCGAGGAAACGCAACAGATTGCGGATCAGCGATTCAGGGGTCACAGATTGCGGGGCCCAGTTCGGCAGGCATTAAAAAAACGGTTTCCCCGTATGGGCTACAGTAAACCGACCACCCTGGAACCTTCTTTGATAAGCGAGTGAAAGGTTATCTAGGCTCGATATAAGCGGATCATCACCGAACCAGACAATAATGGGATTCCAGCCGAACACCCATTTTACGCTGGCAATTCTCACCAGCGGACCTTCCTCGAACCCTTTTTCTCAGGCAAACTGTCCATTTTCTCATCCGCCGCACCATGCGGCCTCGAGGTCCCGCACCATGCGGGGGATCATTGATTCGGGGCAATTACACCTTGCCCTGAAAAAAACCAATCCCGGTCTTTTTCACCCCTTTCGTGCCCGCTGGAAAATCACTCATCACCAACACACAATCATTAACACATCGAACGGAGAGCTCCCCTTGCCCGTTTTTTTTTACGTCCACCGCAGGTTTGCGGGGCTGCCCGGGCTGCCAGTACAGTGATTCTGCGCTCCATCAGCGCAGCTGCATACGGGCTTCTGCGCAGGGCCTTTCACGGGCGATGCCGTTTTTCAAGGCCCATTTAATGCCAACCGAACGCACTACCCATTTTTTCCGAAGTTGCGCTGGGGCTACAGGCTGACTTCGCAGCTGTTTCTTGGGGCCATTTTTTGGGGGCCCGTTAAAATGGCCGATAATGGCGATAATGGCCATAATGCCTGCCGAACTGGGCCCAGATCAAGTCGCTACAGTACCACATTGCATGCATGCTACACCGCTTTAAAACCAACTGAAACGTGTGGGTTCCCCCGCGAATTGTGGTGGCGATTACGACAGTTTGTTCTGTGTGCGAAGAGATGTGTTGCTCTCATTTTCGCAATTGTCGTGGCGTAGCTTGTGCAGCTCAAGGATTCTGCGAAGTCGTGAAAGTTCGCGACTTCCACCTCACATCTATTTATCTAACGGTTACCCGAAGCACATGTGTACAAACACCCCAACAGGTAGAACGTAGGAGTAGTCTGTTCTGCGATGCGGTTGAATTTGGTGAGTGACATAGCTTTCTTGCATCTTCACTTTGGTCAGTGTGACACAATCGGTGCCACTGAAGAGGGGACACAATCTGTCCACTAAAGCAGGCATGATTTCCCAAGTTATGATTAGTGCCAAGACGGCGTAATATCGCGGAGAACATGGCGACGCCGTATTATTATGACACGTGGTCTGTGTTATGCATGTTCATGCTATAAAACTAATGACTCGCGCCCCGGCTCCTGTTATCCACCAGCAGCACTGGCTCCTGTTATCCACCAGCAGCACCTCTCGATGGCGGCGACTTTCGCGAATTCGCGAAACTCGAGAGCTTCGCGGAATTCGATGACTGATCGGGGCACCTTCGAGGCGCCTAGAAAACTTGCGCCTGATTCTATCATCCCATCCCTCCGCTCTCCGTGGCTCGCGTTATTTGCGTTGCTGCTGGTGCTGTCCTTGAAACTATCGCTGGGCGATGACGTGTCGAACTGTGATTCGCTGGTCAGTAGTTACGATCCATCCCTCGTTCGCTCTTCTCGCATTTCTTCGTCGTCTCCTCTTTTTTGTCGCCATCTCTTCTTCTCTCCTCTCCCCCCTCTTTCCCTCTGCTTGCCTCCTTTTCCCTTTTCTCGCCCCAGCTTCCCTTCGCCATATGCCTTTCCTCCTCTCGTCTCCCGTTTTCCTACACGCTCCCCGCTACGGGCGGGCCGAGAACGGAACACTTCTTCCTTTTTTGAAATCAGAGCCGCTTTTCCAGTTCCCATTCTCCCCCCCCCCCCCCCCCACTCTCCCTCCTCCCCACCTCCCCCCGTCGCTCCCATCTTCCCTGCCTCCTCCCCTCTCCCCTCCTTCTCTCCCATCTCTCCGCTTTCTTCATCTCATTGCAAGCCTTGTTCTCTTCCCCGCTTGTCAAACTTTCCATCAGGGTTCGTTCCTCCCCTCCTCGCGCCTCTCCCCCTCCTCTCACCTCCGCTTCGGGTTCCCCGAGCACCTCTGTGGCGACTGGTGGAAGGAGTACGTGAAACTTCATGCACGCATGAGGGAGGACAGCAGGCTACAGCACGCACACGCACAGGCACAAGCACAAGCCCAATCCCAACCGCAAGCCCAGGCTGGAGCACAAGCACAGGCCCAGGCAGGTGTGGCAGTTGCTGCTGCTGCCGATGCCACTGCGCCTGCGCCTGCTGCTACTGCTGCTGCTGCCGCCTCAGCTCCTCCCCTCTCACAACCACCTCTCCCCTCCTCCTCCCCCTCCCCTCCCCCTCTCCGCTTCCTCACCTACGAAGTCCTCTTCGGGTGTGGGGGGCTGGGGGACGCCCTGATTGGCCTAGCCGCCGCATTCACTGTAGCACTTTTGGACGGACGTGCCCTGATTCTCAACCACCCGTGCCTGCCTCAAGCCTTTGACCCCGCCCACGTTGACTGGCGGTTGACCGACGACATCCCCATGGAACCTTCCAGGAAATACACGTACGTTCCGCCTCCTGACGTCGGCCCTTCTGCTGCTAATTCAGCAACAGCAGGTTCTGCTGCTGGTGCTGCTGCTGCTACAGGCAATGAGGCGGGTACTGAGCCTCCAGAAGCGGCAGTGCAGGCAGGGGAGGTGATTCGACTGAACCTGAAGAACCGCGATGTGGACTTGCAGCCACTCTTCTCCCGCCTCGCCCCCGCCACCAACATCCTGCTGCGCTGGAACCGCGGCGTGCTCACACGGCTGTTTTTGGAGGCTTATAACGCGGACAGAGAGTCTTATAACGCGGATAAGCGTGCAGAAGAGGCAGGGAGAGGGGTGGGGGCGGAGTGGGGATGAGGGGCAGCAGAGAGTGGGCGTTAAGGTTGAGGGCCATGGGGCTCAGGCTGCCGCTTGCGACAGGATGTTTCCTGCGCTTCCTTCTCAGGTGCTTACTCAGGTGCTTTTTCAGGTGGTTGTCAGGTGGGAGGGGGATGCGGCTGTGCAGTAGGGAGTGGACTGTGGACGTTAAGGCTGAAGAGGGTTGGGGCCCAGGCTGTTGCTTGCAACGGGCTGTTTTCTGTGCTTCCTTCTTCCGTAACTTGCTTCCGGTGCTTGCCTGGGGTGCTTGCCTGGGGTGCTTTTCTTGGGCGCTTGCCTCAGGTGCGTAACTGGCCTTCACCCCTTTCCACTTATCTCTTCTGTTGCCTCTCCTCCTCCCATCCATCCCATAATACCCTCTTCCCTCCCAGCCAATCATTCCGTCCTCTTCTCTTCCCGTTTCTCCTCCCTCGTCATTGCTTAACCAGCCTTCACCCCTTCCTACTCATCCCTCCCTACCTCCCAATCATCCCTTCTCTCTCCCTCCTGTTTCTTCCCCCACCCGTCCCCCTTTCCCCTGTCCCCATTCCTGTTTCTTCCTTCCGTCTTCCCACTCGCCTAGCCTCCAGACCAAAGCCTGAGGTGTGGCAACTCATCCGGCCGTTCGATCAGCAGCTGAGGGGCGATCGGACGGTTGTGATTGGCCTGCACATTCGGTTCGAGGACAGGGCAGTGTGGGGAGAGGGAGGGGAGGGGGCGGCTTTATCACTCTCAGAGGAGCGAGTGAGGGAGATGCTGGAAGAGGTTCGACCCACTCTTGAGTGTGCCAAGGTAAGGAAGAAGGGACTGTGGGGGGCAACATTTAAAGGTGTAAGTGGAGGATGCACCTTTGTCACTCACAGAAGAGCGAGTGAGGGAGATGATGGAAGAAGTCAAACCCACACTTGAGTGTGCCGAGGTAAAGAAGGGTTTGTAGGGGCCGGGATCATGAGGGGATAGGGGAGGGCGCACCTTTATCGCTCTCAGAAGAGCAAAGGGAGCAATTGAGGAAGATGGTGGAAGAGTTTCGACCCACTCTTGAGTGTGCCAATGTAAGAAGGGGAATCACGGGATGCAGAATCAAGAGGAGTTAGAGTATGCACCTTTATCACTCTCATAGGAGCGAGTGAGGAAGATGGTGGAGGAGGTTCATGATTGTAAGGTGACGGGTGCACAGGGAGGGGAAGGGAGGAGACAGACGTTGTAAGGGAGGGGGCATCAGGGATGGGGTCCCGGATGAAAGAGAACACCGTTTGTTTTTTTCCTCTTCTTCTTCTTTCCCTCTATTGGGTCCTCTAATATTTTTCCATAGATTTCTCCTTCTCTTTGAACTCGACCTCCCTATTTCTCCACGCTTTCTCCGCCCTCAACACACACAGTGAGTACAGGAGTGGCACGTCCCCTCCTCTCTCCCTGTTAAGTGGTGGTTGCTGCTCTGCAAATCCGTGCAAGTCAAGCAGGCGGTGAGCAGCAGGGGGATCATGTTACTCACCTCACGCTCTCTTTCACTCTCTCCCCCTTCTCCACCCCCACAGCGAGTACAGAAGTGGCACGTTCCCTCCTCCCTCCCTGTCAAGTGGCTTCTGCTCTGCAACTCCATGCAAGTCAAGCAGGCCATTCGCGACAAGTACCCGGACAAGGTGAGGTATTTGCGAAGTACCCCGATGAGGTAAAGCGTTCGCGAAGAATACCCTGACTAGGTTAAGTTGTGAGTCAAAACAGCCAAGATGAGCCAGGCAATTCTGAAGACTCGAACGGCATTTGCTCTGCAAAGCATTTCAATTCAAGACAGGCATGGCGTATGGTGAAGCTTCTTGTCAAGCCAGATGAGATTAATGGCATGGATTATGGTGAACATAGCTGATATAAATGACCGACCCAGGTATGCAGAATGCTTAATGATGGTGTGGCAAGCATCTAGACGATTCATTTGGTCCACATGGTTGGTTACTCCGCAGCGTCTACAACACTTCACTTCCTGTCGTGCCATCAGCTAATTGCTGGGTACAGCCCTGCTCCCAGCAATTAGCCACTTTTCCCTTGTCCAATGCTCCCACTCTCCCCTCTCCCCCTTCCTCGCCCACAGGTAATAACCACCGACTTTACTCCACGCCATGCCAACAGTATGAGTGGGGAAGACACCACCAACCCATCCCCATCCACCTCATCTCCCTCTTCTTCCTCCGCTCCCTTCCTCGAGCTCATAGCCGAGTGGCTGCTGCTGGCCTCCTCCCATTTCTTCGTCATACCCAACTCTGGCTTCTCCCGCACAGCGCTGCTCTACTCCATGCACCCGGCAGGGTCTGCCTTCATGCCGCCTGATAACTGCTTCCCTGACGTGTCTGTTAATCTCACATGGCTTGGAACCACATGGAGCAGAGTATAATGATGTAATGTCTAAGAAAATCATTACTGACTTTTAATTTGTCATGAATAAGGGGCGCGTCACGAATTTAGGCATCACAAAGACAGTATATCACTCCGCACACCTAAATAGATAACGTTTTTGTTGGGCTGAGAAAATAGCCCTTTAGGATCTTTTCAAGGCTAAAACTCTTGGTAGGAATATTGTAATTGCGGGAGCGTTTAATGAGAAGTATTGAACCACCTTGCGCTGGTGTGTGAGGGCAAGATAGATTGATTATAGAAAGGAAGTACAAGTTTTTATAAGATTACAGAGGAATACAAAAGGTTCGACTAACTTCTTATTTGTAACTGCAATTGTAACTGCTGCTGTTGCGGTTCGATACAGTGACGACTCGGGCAACTGCTCAATATCGAGTCAGTTGTTTGTCCTTGCTGTCGCGCTGTATTTGTCGAGTCAAAGGTCGCTTGACCTTTGACCTTCGCGTAACCTCCAGAGGTTACGTTTTCTGTCAACCTCCTCGGTTGACTCGCCGTTGCTGCGCTGTAGTTTGCCTTGTTTACAGTTCGATGTTGCGACACACAAGAAGCGTTAAATTACTTGTTTCCAACAGTTTCCATTGCGACACGCTTCCCAAATGCACCTTAAGATTGCTGCTGATGTTCGCCTCCTCCCGTTTCTTTGTCATTCCCAACTCGGGCTTCTCCCAAACGGCTGTCCTCCTCTATTCAATGCACCCGTTGGGGTTTGCCTTTACGTCTAGTAACCAGATGTAGCATAAGGTAATACAATGCTACATGCAATGCCTAGAAATTCCCTTGTTGCTGCTTTTGTTTTGTGATATGTTTCAATTGCACTTCTGCTAGCCTCCCAACACAAATTCTTCTGTACTAGGTCAGCCTCACTGAATGTACGCGTTAGGGGACGACTGCGTTCCACATCTATCCCACGAACCCTCTCCTCTCCCGCCCGAGGCTCGTTTCCCCTCACCACCTCCCGTTCCTCCAGCCCTCGGGGAATTCGGAAGTCAAATCTCGATGCTCGTAGAGACTCTGCATACCGTTCCACCCAGAGCCTGGGCCTACAAGCAGTCCCTCGAGAGCTCCGTTCCCCTTCCCATGCGTTTACGTCTTATGTGTGTGCGGAGTGGGGGAGTGAGTGCGTCAGGCAGGGCCGTTCCGACGCACGCAATCGGATGGTTGACGAGGAAACAGTCATTTGTTGCGCCACATTCATGCCGTCATGGCTATCGTGCAGCCTCGTTTCCGCTCGATCAGGAGGTTCACATCGGTTGGTTAGGGTTCCTCCTACCTTCTGGTATATATATTGCACTGCCTGCGTGAGCAGGCAGTGCAATCGAGTCGTCAAGCTGATCGCGGCAAGGAAAAAAATAAACCCCAGTCGGAAGGCATGCCATCTCGGGAGGCTCCCGAATGGCATGCCATCTCGGGAGGCTCCCGAATGGCATGCCGTAAGCCATGGGGTTTATTTTTTTTGCCCGCGGTCAGCACGCTGACTCACTCAGTAGCGTCGTCTAGCTGAACGGTAGCGCTACCGAGCGCTACCTCCTACCTTGTGGACCCAACCATGGAGAATGAATCAAATTCATCATCTTCTAGTAGCCAGCCCAACTCCGAACGAATTAAGACAAGAAGAGGATCCCGCCTGATCGGGAATTTGTCGTCCTCCCTGAAAGTTTTGTTTTTTCATCAGAAAAATTGTAATTGGATCCATCCCTTGCCCTGTCTGAGTCGCAACCTTCACTCAGTTCCTCGTGTGCTCGAATTGGCAGAGGTACGTGACGACGCTTTTCTTCTGAAGCACCTCAAACCCTTCACGTCGTAGCAGTTATTCCGGAACCCGTGGTGGTGCCTCAAGTTTCGCCCTGACACCAGGCCCACCACGGAAGGCTTCCCGCAAGGCTCGGACGGCTCGATCTGCTGGGTATAATCCCCATTCCTCTACCAAACGTCCGATCTCAACAGAATCTGGCCAACCGTCTTACCGACAATTTTATTGTAGCAGATCCTTCGCATCGGCTTCCTCTTGCTTTTGCTCCTCGTTTGATTCCCTTTTCTCCCGTTCCTCTTGCTTTTGCTCCTCGTTTGATTCCCTTTTCTCCCGTTCCTCTTGCTTTTGCTCCTCGTTTGATTCCCTTTTCTCCCGTTCCTCTTGCTTTTGCTCCTCGTTTGATTCCCTTTTCTCCCGTTCCTCTTGCTTTTGCTCCTTGTTTGATTCCCTTTTCTCACGTTCCTCTTGCTTTTGCTCCTCGTTTGATTCCCTTTTCTCCCGTTCCTCTTGCTTTTGCTCCTCGTTTGATTCCCTTTTCTCCCGTTCCTCTTGCTTTTGCTCCTCGTTTGATTCCCTTTTCTTCCGTTCCTCTTGCTTTTGCTCCTTGTTTGATTCCCTTTTCTCCCGTTCCTCTTGCTTTTGTTCCTCGTTTGATTCCCTTTTCTCCCGTTCCTCTTGTCCAACAGTGGCTTCTGGAGGCCCCCAGACTCACTCCCCCTCGGTCAGCTCGCGATGGCGGAAAGAAGCGGCCGTGCCGGCAACAGCAGGCTGCTATCTCTCCCCGACGAGCTTCTCCAAATCATTCTCGGCCTCGCAGATCACCCATCAGATCGCCGCGGCGTCGCTCTCTGTTGCTCCCGCCTCTGCCACCTCTCTCGGCGCACGCCACATGCGCTCCGACTTGAGTTCTACTCCAGGTCAAAGGCTTCGAATCCGCGAGAGTGGCTGAAAACGTTCGACGATTATTCAAGGGTATTTACCCACGTTAAGGATCTGATTGTGGAAATTACCCGTGGTCTCGGGAACCAGCTGATGGCGGGGATCGCAGCGGGCTGCCCGAAATTGGAAAAACTGAAGCTGGTGGTGGTGGCTTGCGATAGTTTCAACGTCAACGGTCGAGCGTGGCGAAACCTCGCGAAGCAATGCCCGTGAGTTGACGATTTCCTGCATCTTCTCTCACTTCGAACCTTCTGCCCAATCCATGCATCCGTCACCGTCCGACTCTCTGTCCCTCTGTCCCTCCATCCGTCCGTCCGTCCGTTTCTCCATCCATCCATTACGTCGGGCTGTTAACAATTTCTCGGACGAGCTTTTACACGCCCTGAACGTAGTGCCAGGCGCAGAGTTATGCTCGTTCTTGTGTTCTCGCCCCCCTCCCTCACCCTCCCCCTTTCCCTCCCTTTCCTCTTTCCCACCTCCCCCCACTCCCCCGCCACCCATCCCTCCCCCCATCCATCCGTTTCTATCGCGTGTTTTGTTGGTTTCTCCTTGCAAATCAAGGCCACATGTCTTTCGCATCCACCTTCGCTCGCTCTTCACCCTTCTCTCTTCGTCCTTCCCTCTTTGCCCCGCTCCCCACTCGCCCCCTTTTCCCTTCGTGCAGGCTCCTGAGTGAAGTTAATCTTGCGCTAAGCGCGTTTGCCTTTCTCTGCTGCAGTAGCTCCCTCTCCCCCCGCACACTACCTCCTCTCGCTGCAACTCCTCTCTCCTCTTCCTTCCCTCCCCTCCCTTCCCTCCTTGCACCTTCCCTCTGCATGCAGGCTCTTGGCTTCATTGGAGCTAAACTCACGTGTCTCCTACACCCGGCAGCCACCACTCCCCCCCGTGCACCTATTCCCCTCACTGCAGTCCCTCAGTCTCCTCTACGTTCCCTCAGACTACCTCTCCATTCCCCGCTGCTCCTCCCTCACCTCTCCCGCCCTTAAAGCCCCCGAATCCTCCACTCTTTCCTCCCTCGCCTTCTCCTCCCCCTCCCTTGTCTCCTCCTCCTCGTCCTCCCCCCTGTCGTCCTTCCCCCCATCCTCTCTCCGCACGTCTCTCACGTCCCTCACCATCCACTCAGCCAAACTTCAGGGCTCCCTCGCATCCCTTGACTTCTTCCCCTCCCTCTCCTTCCTCGCCCTCCACTCCTGCACCGTCGACCCCTACGAGCTTTCCTCCCTCTCACGCTCCCTCCACTCCCTCACCTATCCCACAGTCCACTTCTGCCCCCTCGTCTCTTCCCGCTCCCTCATCCCCATCCTCCAAGAGAGTCCTGCTCTCACCTCCCTTTCCCTCCACGGAACAACCTATCGTCTGTTCAGTCCACAGGGCTTCCGCGCCTTGCTCTCATGCTCCTCCTCCCAGCTCCACTCCCTCAGCCTCACTGGTTTCCCCTGCTTCCGCCCGGGCTTGTTTGCAGCCTGCACTGCCCTGCGGTCACTCAGTGTGGAAGGGATTGTTGAATCCTCGGACTCGATTTCTCTGAGCCGCGTGTCATTGGACGGCATTGCAGGAATGCTCGTGCGGGTGGAGCAAAGAGGAGGGACAGGAGGGGAAGCAGGAGGGGAGGCAGGAGGGGAGGCAGGAGGGGAGGCAGTAGGGGAGGCAGTAGGGGAGGCAGTAGGGGAGGCAGTAGGGGTTGCATGAGGGGTTGCAGGAGGGGACGGAAGAGCGGATGCGTGGAAGAGAGGACGAACTAGTGCTCCTGCAGCAGCTGCAGAGGCGCTGGTGTTACCGAAGGGGAGCAACAAGCACTGCAGGAATTACGTGGACATTCGCACAGAGGCAGAGGCAGCACAGGCGGACAAGCTCGTAGCAACGAGTGAGGTTTTTGATCTCTTCGAAACTGCTAGGAAAACCAGTCAAGCCGCCTTGTCCGAGGCCCGTGAGGTGGCACGAGCAGAGGGCGAGAGTGCTGTGGCTCGGATTATTGCAAGCCTCGGGAAGATGAGGTTCGGGATCTCGGTGTGCTGGTCCTGCCCTGACATGATCCGCGAGTACAATGCGGTTATGGATTGGGAGGAAAAGCTGATGAGGTCAGCTGCTGCTGTTGCCTGCCGGGCGGCAGGGTTCTTTGCCACGGAGGTGAATGGTGGAGAAGAAGAGGTCAGGGATGGGGAGGAGGAAGAAGGATATGAAATCATGGACAGCATACCAGCTGATGAAGCCTTGCATGAGAGGGCGCTGGGTGGGGAGCGGTCTGGTGCGGTGGAGACACATATAGAGGCTATGCGGAGGCTGGAGGCGCTGGTAGATGTGCTGCATGATACAGCGTGTGGCATGTGTGATAGCTCCCGGACCATGCGCAAACCCCCCGCTCTTACAGCTGCTTCTGTGCGGTCAGGGGCTGTTTCGGCGGCAGTAGCAGATGGAAGAGCAGCTTTGCATGGAGTGGGAGGAGGGGCGGCAGGAGCAGCAGATGGAAGAGTAGCATTGAACAGAGTGGGAGGAGGGGCGGCAGAAGGATTGCAGCAGGCGGAAAACGCACTAGAAGACGGAGGGCTATCAGGGCCGGCAGCAGGGGAGGCGGCAGCAGGAAAAGTGGCAGCAGAGTGTGAGAAACTAAGCAGCAGCAAGTCAGGAGGCAATAGTACTAAAGGTTGCCAGCCAGCAATCCCTGTGCAACTGTTGTGCCCTCCACTGGAATCCTTGACCCTAAAATTGTTCCACTTCTCCTCCACTCTCTCTGTTCTTTGGCTGCCTAAAACCCTCCCCTGCACATCTCCTCGCATGTACCTCTCCCCACCCCCTCCACCACCACCTTCCCATTCTTGTCACTCATCCTCCTCCTCCTGTGCTTCCCTCGCCTCCTCCTCCTCCTCTGCCTCAGTCCCACGCATTCGGCCAATGTCCTTCTGGTCCATTGCTCGAGCGGCTGCTTTTGGGCAGCTCAAGCGGCTTGCGCTGTTGTTCTGCTCAGGGTTAGGGGAGGAGGAGTGGCTCGAATTGCTTGCCGCATGTGTTAAGCTGGAGGAGTTGAAGGTGCAACATAGTGACAAGTTTTCAGATGCAGTGGTGGTGGGAAGCAGACTGGGAACGCTCGCTAGCTTGACGGTGGTCATGTGTGATAAGGTCACAGCAACAGTCATTGGAGAGGTTCTTAGAAGCTTCCCTAGATTGCGGTACTTGAAGGTGGAAGTGGGGAAGGTCCCGGAAAGGGCTCGGAGAGAGTTGCTTCGTGCTGGTGTGATTGTGAGGGGTGTTTGATGTATATGATAGGTGCAATATGTCGAGGCTACTTGTGGGCACAAAAATACCTGTAGCATGCATTCTGTTCTGTAAATATATGTAAAGATTTTTGTTGGGTTTAAGGAAAAATCATGGACAGAATGACAGCAGCGATGTGAGAGACTTAGGGAACATTCCTGCCTTGACACTTGTGTCTCAAATGTATTGTGACGCTCAAAAACTACATAAAACGTGCAATGTCACAAACGCGTGTCGCCTTAATGCGAATATAACCCTATTTTACACTGGTCAGCGTCATTTGCGCTGGTGTCGCGGACGAGTTGGACGAGGCCCCGTCACCTCCCTGAAATCGCACACAACGACCAATGTCAAGCAAATTCAGTGCCAGGCCGCATGCACCTGGACGCTGGACGACTTGATAGTTTAGCGCGGGAACAAACCCGCCAAACCTGGGCAGCCTCGAAAGGGGTTTCCTCTCATGAAGTGAAAACAGCGGAATGAGTTAGATTGACTGTGTTGGGGTACAAATGCCTAACCCTAACTGTTTGTACCCCATATATCATGTCCCACTAGAGGCTATAATATTTGACACACCCCCATAGCCTAAGTGGGGAATGCCAAGCAACAAAACACAACCTAAGGTCACAAGACCAGTCACAAGCAAGAGAGAAAACACAGCTCAGGGTGGATCACAACGTCACCACCAGTCTGAGCACAAACAAGAGGCCACAAGGCCAGTTCAAGAGAGTACAAGCTAATATATATAGTACAAACAAACAAGGGGCAAGAACTCACTACTGCAGTCTACTAGACCCAGTCTCAACAAGGCCTAACTGCAGACAAAACCGGCGGTGGTCACAAGGCTGAAGGGCCTTGGTGAAGATGTCTGCAGTGTTGGCCTCGGAGGCCACGAAGTCCAGACGCGCCTGACCGCGTCTCTGCAACTCTCGAAGGAGGAAGTACCTGACGTCGATGTGCTTCACTCTGCTCTCCAGTCGAGGCTCACGACACAGGAGAATCATCGCCTTGTTGTCAGCAAACAAGGTCGGTGCAGAGCTCGGCCGCTCACCAAGGTCAGTGAGCAAGAAGGTCAACCAGCGTAGCTCCTGTGCAGCAAGGGCTCCAGCGTAGATCTCGGCCTCTGCGGTAGAAGTCGCAACAGAGGAGGACCGAGTAGACCTCCACGAAACAGCTCCAGAGCCCAGACTGAAACAGTAACCCTGCGTAGACCTCTGAGTCTCAACGTCGTCGGCGTAGGAGGAGTCGCAGTGACCGGTGAGTACAACTGGCTGTGTCCCTCCAAGTACAAGCCCCATGTCTGATGTCGTGGCAAGGTACTTCGCCACCCTCTTAGCCGCCGTCCAGTGAACAGGACGGTGTCTCCCAGTCGCAACAAAGCGAGAAAGGATGCTAAGAGGGAAGGCGAGGTCCGGGCGAGTGCACGTCATCAGGTACATGAGGCAGCCCACCAGCTCTGCGTAGGGACCACTGGGCTCGAACGGCTCGTCAGGAAAAGGCCCAGTGAGTCTGTGGTCTACAGCAAGAGGGGTGGGTGTAGGAGAGGAGTGCTGAAGCCCGAACCGCTGAAGGACCTGCTGCACCATGTGTGACTGAGTCAGAGTGATGGTGCGAGCGGCTCTGTCCCTGGAGATCTGCAGGCCAAGGTAGCGGCGCAGTTCCCCAAGGTCAGTGCAGGTGTGTCTCTTCTGCAGTTCGGACTTCACCTCCGCCAGTGCAACTGTGTCGGCTGTGGCAAAAACCAAGTCGTCAACGTAGACCAGAACGAAGAAAGGTGTGCGCCCACGACGAACAAACAGCGACGGGTCGGCGGAAGACGGCTCAAACCCGAGGTCGGACAGAGTAGAGCGGAGAGTGTCGTGCCACTCACGGGGTGCCTGACGGAGACCGTAGACCGGTCGTCTGAGGCTCCACTGGGTCCCAGGCGGGAAGGTGCCAGTGAAGCCCGGAGGACGACGCAGCCAGATCTCCTCGTGTAGGCTGCCCTGCAGGAAGGCGGTGGAGAAGTCGAGGGAGTGTAGCTCGTAGTCCCTCTGTGCCGCTACGTGAAGTAACACCCGAAGAGTGGTCATCTTCGGGGTAGGCGCGAAGGTCTGAAAGAAGTCAACCCCCTCGCGCTGACTGAAACCTCTAGCCACGTAGCGTGCCTTGAAGACTGGGGGAGATCCCGGCGGCCGTTTCACCTTGAAGATCCACATGTCGTCAACTATGTTCGCCCCTTGGGGGGGAACCTCGTCAACGTAAGTGCCTGTGGACCTGTAGGAGGCCATCTCTGCGTCCATGGCAGCTCTCCACTGAGAGGCCCAAGGCCCTGACACTGCCTCAGCGTAAGTGCGAGGAGTAGGTATGTCAGGAGCGTCGGGGTCTCCCTCAGGAGCGAGCAGCATGGCACAGAGATGAGGCGAAGCAGCTGCCAGGAACTCTAGCTCAAACTGTCTGTCCTCTAGGACGTCACAACCAAGGGCAGACTCACCCCCGGCGGACAGAGGACGGACAGGAGGAGCGGCCACAACACGAGTGGCGTAGTCAAGGCGACGCGTAGCAGTAAAGTCAGTGACAGCGGCAGTGAGGACCGCGACGGAGGAAGGAGAGGCACGAGGGTCGGTAACAAGAGAGGCGAGAACACGAGAGAGAGTGGGGCGGTACGTGCGGTAGTAGTCAGTGACCGGAGTGGACAGGGAGGCAGTGAGAGACGACTCAGGAGGGCGAGGAAGGACAGACGGAGGAGAACGAGGAGGACTCGGACGGAACAACACAGTACAAAGGTCAGTGACAGGTGACGAAGGACGAGCACGAGGAGGACGAGAGGCCCAAGTGTGGGCGAGAGGAGAGGGAGACGGAGGAGACTGAGGACGAGGGAACACAGCCGGAGCGGAGTCCGGAGGAGGAAACGTAGGACCGAACACAGGAGGAGAGGAGGGGAGACCAAGGGCCCGAAGGCCAGAAACAGGGGCCGGAGGCTGCTCCGGCTGCTACTGCTGCTGCTGCTGCTGCTGCTCCCGCTGCAACTCCAACCGCTCACGCTCCACCCGCCGCTGAACCTCCAACCTCTCACGCTCCAAACGCTGCTGCTCCTCACGCTCAACACGAAGAAGGGCCTGGTAACGAGTAGGGTAGGGGTGAGGAGGAGGAGTGGTGTCAGGAGACGACGAAGAAGAAGAACCAGCTCCGCCCTCGACAGTACCCGGCTGAGCACCCCCAGAGCGAGTACCCCCTGCGACAGCACGACCAGCACCTGTAGGAGGTGTACCCGCACCCCCAGTCGTGGTGCCTCCTATGGCACCAGCACCAGTCCCAGACCCTCCGACTCCAGGCGAAACACCACCAGCTCCAGCACCACCACCAGCTCCAGCACCCTCGGAACGGGCAGCTGCAGCAGGTGAACGCTCAGCGCCAACACCAACACCCCCAGAACGGGCAGCTCTTGTAGGTGCACGAACAGCTCCAACGCCAGCACCCCCAGAGCGAGCACCGCCAGAGCCCTCACCTCGAGCACCAACACCCTTAGATTCCGCAGTGGCCGGTAAAGGAAGCGCTGACGGCTGCTGCGGAGGCTGTGAGGACGACTGTGGGGAAGGAGGAGAGACCTAGGGGGGTACCGAGGGGGGGGGGAGTAGCGTGGGACACACCAGACGGAGCGGGAACAGGGGGGGGTACCGGAGGAGCAGGGGCGGGAGGAGGAGGAGCTGGAGCCAGGAAGAGGGGAGGTTGGGGAACCGGGAGACCTCGACAGGGGTACCGGACGTAGTAGGGGACGGACTCGTCGAAACGGACGTCACGAGAGTCAAAGAACCGGTGGGAGGGAGGGTGGTAAAAGGTGAAGTCGGAGGAGTCCTCCGGGAAACCTAGTGAAGACACAGGGGACGGCGCGAGGTGAGATCTTGTCCGCAGAGGTGTCGCGGACAAGAGCCAAGCAGCCCCAGACACTAAACCTCGACGCTACACCAGGGGACCCTGTCCAAAGACTGGTCGGTGAAGCCTCTGGCCGAGAGACACGAGGCCAGAGGTTCAGCTGGTGAGCGGCGTACCGAGCCGCGTAGGGCCACAGAAAATGGGGCGCGCGGGCGTGGATCATGGAGGTGCGGGCGATCTCCATGACCAGGCCTAAGCGGCGCTCAGCAACCCCATTCTGCTGTGGAGAGTCTGGAAGAGTCCAGGACTGGGAGATGCCCTGCTCAGCACAGAATCTGGCGAGAACGCCGGAGCGAAACTCACCCCCACGGTCGGAGTGGAGACAACTGACACGACGACGGCGAGTACTCTCGGTGGCGAGCAGCCACCGGATCAGCGTAGAAGTCACGTCGGACTTCTTCGCCAAAGGGAACACGGTGGTGTACCGAGAGTAGTCGTCAACGACCACCAGAAAGAAACTCTCTCGCTCAGGGCCAAGCCGGGAAGCGGGGCCCCAGACGTCTAAGTGGAGTGTCTCAAAGGGCTCGGTGGCCGGACGAAGGGAGGAGGAGTGAGGGGTGGCGCGCAGCCGACCCTGGACACAAGGACCGCAAGGAGGAGCTGGGGACGGCGTGAGTGGCGGAAGGACTCGGGGGAGGCCTAAGACAAGACGCTGACTGGACATAGCGCGAAGACGAGGGAGGGACGGGTGACCAAGGCGGTGGTGCCAGAGGAGGGAGGGGTGGGCAAGCGACCGACACGAGCACGACGCAACAACGGAACCGGACACAGCAACCTGACTGGACCTGGCTACCTGGTGGGACGGAGGAACCTGACGGGGGTCGGTGTGGAGGGTGTACAGACCGGAGCCCGGCTCCTGGCGAAAAGTGGCCAAGGGGGCGTACGTGTCACCGTCCACACAGACCGCGGTGTCACCAGAAGGCTCAACCCAGACTCCGACGTGCTGTCTCGCCAGGGGGCCCACACCAACCAGGTTCCTAGAGAACGTAGGAACGTGGAGGCCAGTCAGGGAACCGGAAGGAGCAGCCGGGCACGGGAGCGTAGTGGCGTGAGTTGCAATGACCAGTCCTCAAGAGGGATCGGCCAGTGCTACAGGGACTGGCGCTGGCAGTGGAGAGAGAGTCATGTGGTCGCGGAAGAAACAGTGTGAAGCTCCCGAGTCCAGCTTGAAGGAGAGAGACGCGTCCGCTGAGGGAGCACCTAAACTAGTAGCTAAACAAGATCCTACACTAGCACCTACTCTAGTAACAGGCAAAGAGCCTACGCTAGGCACAGGCAAGTACACAGATCCAGGAGCACTATAGTCAACATCAGCATACATGGCATAAGACCTAGCATCATCCATAGTCATATCAAAAACAGAGATACCACGAGCAAGAAGTGTCCCCCAACGCGGCGGCGGGGGAGCGGAGGGGCCGTGGTGGAAGTGGTAGATGTCGTCGAGACGACTGAAGCAGCGTGCAGCAGAGTGGTCAGGGCGGCCACAGTACGAGTCCCTACGTGGACCCGTAAGGATCCAGTACTCACAGGGACCAACGTCGCGACCGGCCGAGCGAGGTCCCCGACTGGAGGGGGCAGCACTGCGCCCAGTGCTCGGGGGACCCGCAGACCTCCACTGCTGCGGAGAGCCCCACGGCTGCGGAGGGCCCCACTGCTGCGGCTGCGGCTGTGGCGGGCGCTGCGGCTGGCCCTGTCGCTGCTGCTGCTGTCCCTGCCGCTGCTGCTGTCCAGGCGGTGGCAGCTGCTGAGAAGCCGGCTGCTGCTGCTGCTGGAACCCCTCACCACCAGTGAAAACTCCACCGTCGAGAGGAGGGCCGTCAGGTCCCGAGCCACCCCCACCACCACTCCCACCACCTGCTCCACCGCCACCGCCACTACCCGCACCACCTCCAGTACCTCCGCCGCCCTTCCCGCCCTTCTTACCGGCCTTGCCACGTTTCTGTCCGCCAGAGACAGAAACAGCCGCCGTCTCCTCAGAGGCAGAAGACGCGGGGGTGGCAAGGGAGGCAGTGAAGGTGGGAAGCTGTGGTACCGCACACCCCTCAAAAAGACGAGGAGGAGGCGCGGAAGAGGCAGAGGCAACAGCGAGGAGGTTACTCTCGATCTTCGAGAGAGCAGTCTCAAGAAGATCGATGGTAAGCTCAGTGGGGTGCTTCAGAAGAAGCGCGTCGCGGGCTGTGGCTAGGCGGTCAGGGAGGCGAGTGACTAGCCAGTGAATAGTGAGCCACATAGGGGGCGGGGCAAGGGCAAGCTGGTCCTCAGTGCAAGCAGCGCGAAAGCGAGCGTCAAGGGAGCGAAGGTGGGTAACGAGGTCAGAGACAGTCTCAGAGGAGACGAGGTCAGGGTAGATAAAGGGGACGAGGAGGCGACTGAGTGAAGCAGAGGAGGGAGTGGAGTAGCGATCAACAATAGCCTTATACAGATCTGCAGCAGACTCGACCTGAGTGAAGTGGACTGCCTCTGTCGGCGGGAGAAGGTCGGTCAGGGCGAGGCAGGCAGCGGCGTCACGAGACTCCCACACGTCGCGAGCGAGGAACTGGCGCCGGTACTCGGCCTCCTGCTCAGGAGTAGGCGGTGGGGTAGTGGGCAGTGGGCTAGGCTGCGGAGGAGCGGTCTGAGTACCGGACGCGTGTGCGAACAGGTGCACGCCATCCTGCCGCTGGCTCTTAAGGTGGCGCTGCGCCTGCGTAAGCCACGTACTAAAGTCTATGGGTCTCCCCTCAGGGTCAAAACGAAGTACTCGGGAGGTCGCCATAAGGGGCGAAAGTGGGAGAGCGCGGCTGCCAGCCGCGGGAGGGTGAGACAGTCAGTGGCGTGTGGGCAGGCGCGCAGGCGTGCAGGCGGGCAGGTGGCGCGGCACGGCGCGCTGGCCGGCGAGCGGCGCGGCGGGTCTACGGGCGGGCGGCGCTGCGCGCTGGCGGGCGCGCTGGCGTTTGCGCTGGTGGGCGTGCTGGCGTGCGCGTGTGCAGGGCGCGCTGGCGGGGCGCGCTGGCGGGGCGCGCTGGCGTGCGCGCTGGCGGGGCGCGCTGGCGTGCGCGCTGGCGTGGCGCGCTGGCGTGCGCGCTGGCGGGGCGCGCTGGCGTGCGCGCTGGCGTGGCGCGCTGGCGTGCGCGCTGGCGGGGCGCGCTGGCGTGCGGGCTGGCGGGACGCGCTGGCGTGGGGCGCTGGCGGGGCGCGCTGGCTAGGGCGCTGGCGGGCCTGCTGGCTAGGGCGCTGGCGGGCCTGCTGGCTAGGGCGCTGGCGGGCCTGCTGGCTAGGGCGCTCGCGGGCCTGTTAATATTTGACATTTCCTTGCATGTGTTACACGAAAGGCTGCCCGACGAAACCACCACAGATCTAGAGCCACCTCTCCAACCCGCGCCAAAATGAGTGCGCTCGAATCAAATGGGGTGTACCCAATGGAATGACGCCAAGTGTACCACACTCTGGGTCGCACAATGTCGCGGTACATCCTTTTTTTGTGACGCGTAGATGGGCAAATTTACAGGCGCGACTCGGGAAATTAGGGATTGAGACACAAGTGTCAAGGCAGGAATGTTCCCTTATGTTTAGAAGGCAGTTGTGTTGTGAAGTGTAGAATCTCAGAATGAGGTGCAATAATTCAGATACACATGCAAAAACCCTCAAAACACAGCTTTACAGCTATACAGATATGTTGAGTTTCACCAGCTGTACACCTAGGCCCCTCAAAAGCCCGAAGCTGAGGTCCTAAACCCCTCTCCACCCCTCTACGCGCCAGGGACGAAGTTCTGCGCGTAGGCCCACGCGTTGTTGGCGGTGGGGTCGGCGAGGTGGTCCGCGAGGTTCTCGAGGGGCCCCTTGCCCGTCACGATGGCCTGCACGAAGAAGCCCAGCGCCGACACCTGCGCCAGGCGCCCGTTCTTCAGCTCCTTCACCTTCAGCTCCGCCGCCGCGTCGGGATCGTCCGCCAGCCCCAGCGGGTCGAACGCGCCGCCCGGGTAGATTGGGTCTTCAACCTCCTGGAACCCCTCCAAACCGCCCACGCGGTAGCTCTCCACCGCGCCCAGCAGCACCACCTGCGCAACATGACATCGGCTTACCATGTAACAGAGATGCGTCAGCGTGTGTGTTTGCGGATCGCGGATGTTTAACGACGAGCAAAAGTGGGGTGTCGAAGGCTTAAGCCCCGACGGAACTGCATAGAAATGTACAAATAACGGAGCGCATCTGGACGACGAGCGTGGCAACGGAAGGTAAGGTAGGACTGAACGCGACTCGTTCGGAACGCACCTGGACGGCGAGCGTGGCGAGGATGCTCTGCGCGTGGATGAGCGCGGGGTTGCCCAGGTAGTCGAGCCCGCCCTCGGAGAAGATCTGCGCGCCCGCCTTGAACCACACCGCCTCTTGCAGCGGCACGCCGTTGCGCGCCAGCAGCTCGGGGAAGACGATGCCAAGCGCGCCGAGCATGGCCCAGCGCGAGTGAATCACCTCCAGCTCGCGGTTCTTGGCGAACGTCTCGGGATCCGCTGATAGTCCCGCAGTGTCCCACCCGTAATCGCCGGGGAACTCGCCCTTCAGGTACGCGGGCGGCGAGCTGAACGGGCCGAGGAAGAGGCTGCGATCCGGGCCGTACCACTGGCTCAGGTTGTCAGCGACCTTGCTGACGGTCTTGCGCATCGTGACGCGACACTCCACGTTGCGGACCTTCGCCGCGAGCTCCGCGCTCGAGCCGACGAACGCGGAAGCGGCGGATGCCGCAGTTACGGAGGAGAGAGCAGCCATTATGCTGGCGGTGGGCAGCACAAGCTGAGGAAGGCGGGTTGACTGCAGGTGGTATTCAAATTGCAGAATAAGCTGGCTGGACGATTTGTTAGAAGTTCGTTGGGAGGTATTTATGTTGGAGATACGGGGAGAGAACAAATCTCGAATTCGAGTGGAAGGACCGAAGTTCGAGCGTGAAATCGAGGCGCGCATTTTACGCGATTCGGGATTGGGAAAATGCGAAGTTTCTGTGGTGAGGAAATATGCGAATCTTGGTAACCGTATTAGCGCGTACCACGTCAGCTCGGGGTCTTCGGTCAATATTATTTTTCGCGAATGCTTCGAACTGGGACCAGCGCTTTGGGCAATCCAGCGAATTTGGTCCAGCAGATTCAAATTTGTCCAAGTTGAGAACATATGACTCGATACAGGGTTCTGCGTTTTTTTTTTTTTTTTTTTTTGTTGGATGAGATAATATGAAGCATGATTCACGCTTGTTTGTATGGTAACCAGATGCTTTGGATGTGGAAGCTAGCAGGCTGAAGTGGGGTTACCATACTCACATACCTGTCCTAAAATTAGTCGCCTCCCGAAAATAGGAGGTCGAGTTAGGGTGTGACTGGACCGGGGACTGCCGCCTTCGTTTCACAGCAAGTAACATTTCAGGCGATTTTCCAAGTTCGTTTAGGTATCCTCGTTTCATCTCCAGGGCAGAAAAGAAAATTGTGATTTGCAACTCCTACTTCTGCATTTAGGGTCGAGTCGAAACTGGCTTGGCCGCGACAGCTCAAGCTGGTTGTCGAACGCTTCGCCGCGACGCTTTGTCTACGAAACGATCCTGCGCCAGCGGATACCCGCGTCAACGAAATGAATTTTAACGGCTAGTTCACTTGAATCTAGCGCTGCGAGCTAATCCGCGCTAGCAGCTATCCTGCTGTCAACAGCTCACGGTAAAGTACCTGTTAGTCGCGACAGAATGGACGTGGTTGCGTCGTCCCGAAAGGTCTTGTGAACTACTGCACGGATATGTGACACATCACGGTGGAAATTGTCATATACCCGGTTCGGATTCGTTCGGTTCGGTTCTTAGGAGTTGTGACGGTTCCGCGGCGAGGATTGCCACCATTGCCTGACGATTTTTGAGTCGCCTCAAAAGCCGATCCCAAATCTCGGGGCGTTTTTTTTTTTCTAGAGTTTGCGAAGGCCATGGAGGAGCATTTTGTGTTGCGGTTACCACCGTCGCTGGCTTCGCGAATGGACCGCGTGCTGCGGGAAGACCCTACGGCCGCCGCCGACGCCGCTATGGAACTCTTCTTCCAAGGTGGGTAAACAAACCAGGTGACGGCCGCACAGGCCCCTTCGTGAGAACCGGGGGAGTCATTTCCCGCATCCCTCCCTGCTGGATCTAGTCAACCCGTCCTCACCACTCCCTCTCTGCCACCCTACCCCCACCTCCACCCTACCAGCTGACGGGCGCACTGGCTCCTTAGTGATGGGCGGGGAGTCATTTCCTGCGTCCCTCCCTGCTGGACCTGCCAGCAATGGTAGAGTCGGGCCAGTCAACCCGTCCTCATCACTCGCTCTCCTCCCCCCTTTTCGCCCACCTTCCCTCAAATCAACTGACGGTCGCAGGAGTTCATGTGGGATGGGCGTATCGTTTCCCGCATCCCTGCTGGACCTTCCCTGCTAAACCCTCATCCTCCTCAACCCCATTGCTTTCCACCCACCTCACTCACATCAGCTGATGGCCCAACCGGCTCCTTGGTGATGTGATGGGTGTGGTATCTTTTCCCGCATCCCTGCAGGGCCTGCCTTCCTCATCCTCCTCTACTCCATCACTCCCCACCCACCTCCACCCACCTACACCACACCAGCTGATGGCCGAATCGGCTCCTCGGTGATGTGTGATGGATGTGGTATCTTTTCCCGCATCCCTGCTAGACCTGCCTTCCTCATCCTCCTCTACCCCATTACTCCCCACACATCTCCCTCACACCAACTCACGGCCGCACGTGCTCTTTTGTGATACGTGGGGAATTCTTCCCTGCGGCCTGCTCAACCTGCCAGCAGCGGTGGAAGTCATATGACCAACGCACGTCCTTTTGAGTCGGCTCAAAAGTCAGCAGCGGTGGAAGTCGTACGACCAACGCACGTCCTCCTTCCCCCTTCCCTGCTCCCCTGCACCCACGCCCCCCCTCCCTCAACGCTCCTACGCGCTTTTCTCCTCTGACCGGCTGACGGCCGAACAGGGTCCTTCGTGATGGGTGGGTAGGCAATCCTTACCTGCGCCTCCGCTCGATCTGCCAGCAGTGGTGGCTGAGTCTTGCGACCTTCTGTATTTCAGTGGTGGTGGTTGATGATAACTGTATTTCCCCTCACCCTTCTTTTCGTCTCTCCCAACCAGCCGACGGCCGCACGGGTTCCATTGATGGGTGGGGCACCCTTCCCCGCGTCTCTACTGGATGATCTGCCAACAGTGGTGGCGCCTGCAAGGCATATGACAACAGCTCGCCTTTATCTCTCACTCATCCGTTTCCGCCCTTCCAACCCCGTAACCAAACTGATGGTCTCACGGGCTCCTTAGTGATGGGTGGAAAATCCTGAGGTGATTTTTGAGTCGACTCAAAAGTCACCTTTGTGATGGGTGGGAAGTCCTTCTCTGCTGGGCCTTCCAGCGGCGGCGGTGAACATTCGTGGAATCCATGTGACCATATCGTGTCCTCACCTCACCACGCGCTGTCCTCACCACACGCTGTCCTCACCACGCGCTGTGCTCCCCCACCCCCACATCTGCACGCATCAGCTGGCGGTTGAACGGGTTCCTTTGTAGTAGGCGGGCGGGGAAGCCTTTCCTGCTTCTCTCCTGGATCAACCAGCAGTGGTGGAGTCCTACAAGGCGTATGTCAATAACTCATCCTTATCTCTTACTGCACCCCACCCCAACCCACCCCAACCCACCCCACCTCCACCTGAACAGCTGACGGTCGTACTGGCTCTTTCGTGATGGGTGGTGAATCATTCTCCGCATCTCTGCTTGATCTTCCAGCAGTAGTGGAGTCCTGGAAAACATATGATGACAACTCGCTCGTGAAAACGGCAGATGTGGGGCAGGTGGGTTGTGGGACGTGGGGCAGGTGGGTTGTGGGGCGTGGGGCAGGTGGGTTGTGGGGCGTGGGGCAGGTGGGTTGTGGGGCGTGGGTCAGGTGGGTTGTGGGGCGTGGGGCAGGTGGGTTGTGGGGCGTGGCGGTAGGTGGGTGGGGTGTGGCGGTAGGTGGGTGGGTGCTGGATGATCTGCCAGCAGCGGCGGTGGTGGAGTCCAGTCCTGGAAGACGTGTGACGATAACTCGGTTTTCATAGCGGTACATGTGGGGGGCAGGTGGGTCGCGGGGTTTGTTAGGAGGTGCAGTTAGTTCGAGAGTGTCTGCTGGATCTGCCAACTGTGCTGCCCTGGTGGAGTCCTGGAAGACGTATGACGACAACTGTTAGTTAAAACTGCTGACGTGGGCAGGTGGGCCGTGGGGGTAGGTGGGATACGGGGCAGGTGGAGTGGGATGTGAGGCAGGTGGGATGTGGGGCAGGTGGGATGTGGGGCAGGTGGGATGTGGGGCAGGTGGGATGTGAGGCAGGTGGGATGTGGGGCAGGTGGGATGTGGGGCAGGTGGGATGTGGGGCAGGTGGGATGTGGGGCAGGTGGGATGTGGGGCAGGTGGGATGTGGGGCAGGTGGTATGTGGGGCAGGTGGGATGTGGGGCAGGTGGGATGTGGGGCAGGTGGTATGTGGGGCAGGTGGGATGTGGGGCAGGTGGGATGTGGGGCAGGTGGTGTGACTGTGCCGTGTGGTGTGACTGTGCCATGTGGTGTGACTGTGCCATGTGGTGTGACTGTGCCATGTGGTGTGACTGTGCCATGTGGTGTGACTGTGCCATGTGGTGTGACTGTGCCATGTGGTGTGACTGTGTTATCAGATGATAGTGGTGAGGGGGCCATCAGAGGCAGAGCGGCCAATGGAGGGACCAGAGAGTCGCAACAAACTTATTTCTACCGTGCTCTTGATTGCCACCCTACCGCATGTCATTGTACCGCATGTTCCTGTATCAGATGATCGTGGTGAGGGAACCATCACAGGCAGGGAGGCCCATTGAGGGACCGGAGAGCCGCAGCGGTGTCATCCCTCCCACCTGTGTGACTGTTGTTGTACTGTATGTGATGCGATGCGACTGTTACCCCTGTGTGACTGTGTTATCAGATGATAGTGGTGAGGGAGCCGTCAGAGGCAGAGCGGCCCATGGAGGGACCAGAGAGTCGCAATGGCCTCACTCCTCCCATGCGGGACGTGCGGAGACGACGCTTCAGACGCGAGCCCGACCTCAATGTGAGTGTGCTGCACATATTCTCACTTTTGAGACGTCTCAAAAATGTGAGTGTGCTGCACATATTCTTACTTTTGAGACGTCTCAAAAATGTGAGTGTGCTGCACATATTCTCACTTTTGAGACGTCTCAAAAATGTGAGTGTGCTGCACATATTCTCACTTTTGAGACGTCTCAAAAATGTGAGTGTGCTGCACATATTCTCACTCACCCTGTGAACCGCAACTGCCTCACCCCGCCCATGCGTAACGCGCGGAGACGACGGTTCAGGCGCAAACCCGACCTCAACGTGAGTGTGCCGTGCCCATTACAATCCGTGAGCTATGCATGCTCATACTACTTACTGTGTCGAGCGAACGTCCTCACCCCTCCCTTCCCCGTTCCTTCTTTTCCCCCCCACCCCGTTCCCTTCATTCCTGTCACATCCCACGCTTGTCCCCTCTCTCTCTTCTCCACTCTTCAAACATCATCCACTCTCATTTTTCCTGTAATCCATCACACTCAATTCTATTCAGTATCTCTGCCTCTTCAACTCTCTCCCTCTATAATCCCCCCTCCTTTCTATCACTGCTGGCAGCCGGAGATAGTGGAGGAGGTCGAGGGGGAGCTACGGGGAATCATGGCGGGAGGAGCGGCCAAAGACGTGGATATCCCCCTCCGCACGCTCTCACTTGCCCTCTCTCCGCACACGCTCTCTTACCCTCCCTCTGCACACTCTCACTTACCCTCCGCACACTCTCACTTACCCTCCGCACACGCTCTCTTACCCTCCCTCTGCACACTCTCTCTTACCCTCTCTCCGCACACTCTCTCTTACGCTTACCCCTTTCTCTGCTCTCTCACCCTCTCTCCTCACACTCCCTATTACCTCTCTCCCCACACTCCCTATTACCTCTCTCCGCAAATTTGGTGCTTGTTTCTCCCACCTCCACCTCTGCCTGTTCGTTGTCCATCTTCTTATCGCAACCCTGCCTGCTGCAAGCCAGCTATCCTGTCTCACTATCTGTTCTCACCACGACTAATGCTCTGTGCACTTTCCCAGCGTGGGATAGCCAAACTTCTTTTCCTGCTTTTCACGTTTTCCTTGACCTGTGATGGTCCAATCTTCGCCTCCTTTTCCCACTGCTGGTTGATCCCTTTTCTTTCCTTCTCCTACCTATCTTGGCTTCCTTGCCTTGCCTATCTTGCTTTCCTTGACCGATCTCTTGCTTGCGTTTGGTTTCCATATATCCTTTCTGGGGCGTTTCTGAACCTGTGGATTCATTGGTGGCCGTCCGATTGCGTATATGGCTTGTTTCTGGCCGTCGGATCGTGCACAGCTGGAAGTGATGGAGCATGAGGAGGCAGAGGAAGGGGATGAGGGGGAAGGAGGGGAGGGGGAAGGGGAGGGGAAGGAGGGAGAGGAGGAAGGAGGGGAGGTGGAAGGGTTGGGAGGCAAGAAGAAGAGAGGAGGGAAGGTGGGGGTTAGGGGAGGGGGGCGAGGAGGAAGAGGGGGGCGGGGGGGACGGGGGAGGGGAGGTGGGAGGGGAGTGGGAGCTGGGGGAAGGGGGCGAGGGAGGGGGTTAGGGAGAGGGGTAGGAGGAGGGGGGAGAGGTGGGGGAAGAGGTGTGGGGGAAGGAGCGGGGAGAGGAGGGGGTAGAGGGGGTGGGAGGGGGAGGGGAAGAGGGAGAGGGATGAAGAGAAAGGAGGTTGAGGAGGCGGAGAATGCTGAGGAGGATACGGAAGGTGGAGGGAAGAGTAGGAAAGTGGGTGAGGGGGGAGAGGATGAAGAGGGTGATGCAGATGTAGGTGAGCCTGAGAAGGGATATAACAAAGAAGAGGAGGGTCATGCGGGGGAAGAGGGAGAGGAGGAAGAGAGGGATGAGAGGGAGGGAGGTGAGAGAGAAGACGAAGAACCGGATGAAGATGCACATGGGGAGGAGGCAGAAGAGGAGGGTGATATGGGTGGGGGAGGAGTACCAGATGAAGAGGAAGGGGAGGAAGAGAGGGATGGAGAGGAGGGTAGGGATGGAGGGAGTGTAGCGGGAGGGGAGGTGGAGGAAGGGGGTAGTAGTGAGGAAGAGGGGAGGGATGGCGATGGGTTTGTGGATGTAGATGAAGATGAGGAAGAGCCCTATTAGGGGCTACTAGTGTAGAGCAGTTACATGTTGGTGTGCATGCAAAATTGTCAAATGTTATAGCCCTTAGTGGGTCATACTATATGGGGTACAAACAATTAGGGTTAGGTACTTGTACCCCAACTCAATCAATGCAAGCCATTCCGCTGTTCTCAGTTACTAAGATGGTATCAGCAGTAGGTTCGTTGTTCCTAGGCCTTAGTCACCTCCGTTCCTAGTCCTATGCCGTCCCTAGCCAGCGCCCTCGCCCACGACCTAGCAACCGCCCTGGACAACGCCCTAGCCAGCGCTCTAGGCTCTCCCCCCCCCTCCCCAGCAGGCCCGCCAGCGCCTTAGCCAGCTGGCCCGCTAGCGCCTTAGCCAGCAGGCCCGCCAGCGCGCCACGCCAGCGCGCACGCCAGCGCGCCACGCCAGCGCGCATGCCAGCGCGCACGCCAGTGCACCACGCCAGCGCGCCACGCCAGCGCGCACGCCAGCATGCACGCCAGCGCGCCACGCCAGCGCGCACGCCAGCGCGCCACGCCAGCGCGCACGCCAGCGCGCCACGCCAGCGCGCCACGCCAGCGCGCACGCCAGCGCGCACGCCAGCGCGCCACGCCAGCGCGCACGCCAGCGCGCACGCCAGCGCGCCACACCAGCGCGCCATGCCAGCGCGCACACCAGCGCGTACGCCAGCGCGCCACGCCAGCGCACCACGCCAGCGCACCGCCAGCGCTGCGTCGCCGCCCCGCCCGTCCGCCTGCGCGCCGCGTCGCCCGCCGGCCAGCGCGCCGTGCTGCCCCCCTGTGCGCCTCTTACACTGCCTCCTCGCCTCCTTGCCTGAGTGCCTGCCCACGTGCCACTGACTGTCTCACCCTCCTGCGGCTGGTAGCCGCGCTCTCTCGTTTTTCGCCCCTTATGGCGACCACTCGAGTACTTCGATTTGACCCTGAGGGGAGACCGATTGATTTTAGTACGTGGCTTACGCAGGCGCAGCGCCACCTTAAGAGCCAGCGGCAGGATGGCGTGCACCTGTTCGCACACGCATCCGGTACTCAGACCGCCCCTCCTCAGCCTAGGCCGCTGCCCACCACCCCGTCGCCTACTCCTGAGCAGGAGGCCGAGTACCAGCGCCAGTTTCTTGCTCGCGACGTGTGGGAGTCTCGTGACGCCGCTGCCTGCCTCGCCCTGACCGACCTTCTCCCACCGACCGAGGCAGTCCACTTCACTCAGGTCGAGTCCGCTGCAGATCTGTATAAGGCTATTGTTGCTCGCTACTCCACTCCCTCCTCTGCCTCACTCAGTCGCCTCCTCGTCCCCTTTATCTACCCTGACCTCGCCTCCTTTGAGACTGTCTCTGACCTCACTGCCCACCTGCGCTCCCTTGACACTCGCTTTCGTGCTGCTTGCACTGAGGACCAGCTTGCCCTTGCCCCGCCCCCTATGTGGCTCACCATTCACTGGCTAGTCACTCGCCTCCCTGACCGCCTAGCCACAGCCCGCGACGCGCTTCTTCTGAAGCATCCCACTGAGCTTACCATCGATCTTCTTGAGACCGCTCTCTCGAAGATCGAGAGTAACCTCCTCGCAGTTGCCTCTGCCTCCTCAGCACCTCCTCCTCGTCTTTTTGAGGGGTGTGCGGTACCACAGCTTCCCACCTTCACTGCCTCCCTTGCCATCCCCGCGTCTTCTGCCTCTGAGGAGACGGCGGCTGTTTCTGTCTCTGGCGGACAGAAACGTGGCAAGGCTAGCAAGAAGGGAGGGAAGGGCGGGGGTACTGGGGGTGGTGTGGGTAGTGGTGGCGGCGGTGGGGTGGGTGGTGGGAGTGGTAGTGGGGGTGGCTCGGGCCCTGACGGTCCTCCTCTCGACGGTGGAGTTATCACTGGTGGTGCGGGGTTCCAGCAGCAGCAGCAGCAGCCGACTTCTCAGCAGCTGCCACAGCTTGGACAGCAGCAGCAGCAGGGACCGCAGCAGCAGCGACAGGGAGACACCGTCCTGTTCACTGGGCGGCGGCTAAGAGGGTGGCGAAGTACCTCGGCGCGACATCAGACATGGGGCTTGTACCCGGAGGGACACAGCCAGTTGTACTCACCGGTCACTGCGACTCCTCCTACGCCGACGACGTTGAGTCACAGAGGTCTACACAGGGTTACTGTTTCAGCCTGGGCTCTGGAGCTGTTTCGTGGAGGTCTACTCGGTCCTCCTCTGTTGCGACTTCTACCGCAGAGGCCGAGATCTACGCTGGAGCCCTCGCTGCACAGGAGCTACGCTGGTTGACCTTCTTGCTCACTGACCTTGGTGAGCGGCCGAGCTCTGCACCGACCTTGTTTGCTGACAACAAGGCGATGATTCTCCTGTGTCATGAGCCTCGACTGGAGAGCAGGGTGAAGCATATCGACGTCAGGTACTTCCTCCTTCGAGAGTTGCAGAGACGTGGACAGGCACGTCTGGACTTCGTGGCCTCCGAGGCCAACACTGCAGACATCTTCACCAAGGCTCTTCAGCCTTGTGACCACCGCCGGTTTTGTCTGCAGTTAGGCCTTGTTGAGACTGGGTCTAGTAGACTGCAGTAGTGAGTTCTTGCCTCTTGCTTGTTTGTACCATATATATATTAGCTTGTACACTCTTGAACTGGCCTTGTGGCCCCTTGTTTGTGCTCAGAATGTGTGGTGACGTTGAGATCCACCCTGAGCTTTGTTTTCTCGCTTGCTTGTGACTGGTCTTGTGACCTTAGGTTGTGTTCTGTTACTTGGCATTCCCCACTTAGGCTATGGGGGTGTGTCAAATGTTATAGCCCTTAGTGGGTCATACTATATGGGGTACAAACAATTAGGGTTAGGTACTTGTACCCCAACTCAATCAATGCAAGCCATTCCGCTGTTCTCAGTTACTGAGAAAAATGTTTTTGTAATAACTTTAGCGATGCTTTACAGTTTGTCAGTATCGAAGGAAAAAAAAAAATTACATTCCTTACCGCGCACCTCAACATCACGTACAGGACCTACTGTTTTTCTCCCGTTACTAAGGGCAAGTTCCTACGGCCTCATATCAGGCCAACCTCATATCAGACTCGCATAAACCACTTCAATCTCGGCTTCGTCTGAGTTTTTATTTTTTCTTTCCTGGTTTGATGTTCGGAAAAATACGATGGGTGCTTATCGCATCCATGAACCCGACAAAACAAAAATCTTCCGTACGGAGTCAAACGAGACTGCTTGACTTGGCTGACACGACACGCGGCAAAGATTGCGCGTGGTTTGCTGCATTTCGCGTGTACAGTGTCAGTCACACAAATTGCCCTACGGTAATGCGTGACAACGCAGAGCTGTGTTTCGCGTGGTACAGTGTGTCGGCCACACAAATCCCTGCACGTGGATTGCCTGAATGGTTTCGAATGCATTTGTTTTCTCGCGCAGTAGAAGTCCTAAAGTTGAGTTTCATAACGAAAATCTCGAGTTTTTACAATCCTGATACGAGGTTGCCCTGATACCTATGAGGCCGTAGGAACCCTAATAACTGTGTTTTGCCGCCTTCTCGCATTGCATTTGCCTAACCATGCATCGCTGGCCTGGCCCAAGTTGATCTACGCTTCGGGGCTAGCCCGAGCCTCGTTGCAGCATCGCACTAGCTGTCAGAATGTTATGTTTGTCTAGCCTGCAGTGGGGTACTCTATAGCGAGTACAGCCCATTAGGGTTTCCTATTTGTATCCTGCTGCTCCTAGTCCAAACAACTGCCTTCTTCAATTCTCTTCCAGAAACCCTAAGCCCTAGCTACTGGCCTCTAAGCCTATGGCTTCTAAGCCTACTACCATCATTCTTACCTAGCATCTTGATATGGTATTAGAGCTACTTAGCTCCTGGCCTGTGGGCCCGTATGCTTCCGCCGCTGCTGTACTGCCTGTCGTGCGCCCCGTGGCGCGTGACATTGTTTTTTCTTCCCGCCGCGCGCTCGGGGCGCGCGGCGGTTTCCTGCCCGCTACGCGCTCGGGGCGCGTGGCGGTTTCATGCCCGCCGCGTGCCCCGGACGCGCGCGGCGGTTTCGTCGACCGTCGCGACGCCCTGGGGGCCCGCGCGCCGCCCTGCCCGTCGCCCGTCGCGGCATCCCAGGGGCCCGCGCGCCGTTCCCCCCCCTTCCCGTCGCCCGTCGCGGCGCCCTGGGGGCCCGCGCGCAGCCCCCCTTTCGTCGCCCGTCGTGGCGCCCTGGGGGCCGCGTGTCAGCCCCTCCCGTCGCCCGTCGCGGCGCCCTGGGGGCCCGCGCGCAGCCCCATCCCCTTGCCCGTCGTGGCGCCCTGCGGGTCGCGCGTCAGCCCCTCCCGTCGCCCGCCGAAACGCCCTGGGGAGCCACCCTCCTTCGAGCTGCTGCCCCCCCCCCCCCCCCCCCCCCCCCCCCCCCCCCCCCCCCGCTGCTGCCTGTGTTAGGGTTTGGGGGTGGCGAGTGTGGGGGTGATGGGTGTGTGACCCGTTCCCGGCTCCCCCTCCTCCTCTGTCTCCCACTGCTACAGCTGCTGCTGAGGGGGGTGGATGTATGGGAGCCTTCGGAGTGGTGCTTGGGGTGTGGAGTGTGAGTGGAGCCAGAGGTTTAGCAGGGGGTGTGTGACAGGGGTGTGGGACAGTTGGGGGAGGTTGTGTGGAGGTAGTCATCGTGATGTCAGCAGCGCCTGTAGTCCGGAGCCGTCGTGCTCTCGGTAGCCCAGCGAGCCTGCTTCGCCAGTCGCCTGTGGGTCCGTTGCTCCTGTGTGTGCTCGTCGTAGCCGCGGAGCCAGATACTCCCGTAGTCCGGTGCCCTCGTGCGCTCGGTAGCCACTGTGCGCGCCGCTCCTGTTGCCCGTGTGTCTGCAGCTTCAGTCGGCGCCTTTCATCTTCTCGCCCTCACAGTCTCTCCTCCTCCTCATTTGCCCTCTGTGATAGCCTCTAGCTTTGCTTATAATTGTGAACTATTGCTCTGCCTATTAATTGTGCTGATTACACCCCACTTTGGCTATGGGGGTGTGTCAGAATGTTATGTTTGTCTAGCCTGCAGTGGG